AGACTGACGACGGAGAGAAGCGGCAAAAGTACTCAATTTCTGGTACTGCGATACTCAAACTGCTCGCCAAACGAGACGAATATTGATTGAAGCAAATCAATATTAAATAATACCGTTGTATTATTAGAAGGCCATCTACAATTGTCCTGGTGTTGCAGTTGTTCGGGTTCGGGGACGGCGTTCGACACTTATCATCATGTGAGCATATGCTCATTTGCCCCCTCTTCTATAAAAAATTCCAGCAGTGTCAGTAGTTTTAACGCTACTCCCCGTTAAGGGTCTGTATCTTTGACTTATATGTACTACGTACTAGAGAACACTTTCTAAACAAAAAATGTGCACTACTTTGTCTTCGCGCATGCGCGGGAGATAGTAAAGTCGCGCATGCGCAGTAGATTTAAGAGCGTTGCGCCCGCGCGGTCAGTTTATATAAAAAAATATTTTGCATGATATTTTCTTTTGTAATATTAGGATATTATTACCTATTTATTCACTTGAACAACAAATAATTTTACTTGACTACTGTTATTTAACTTATTTATATATTTAATGTTACTTAATATATTTAATAGTTATTTACGTCCAGGTTCAATATAAACTTTAATTTGAAATCTTGTATGAATATTGAAACCACAGACTAACTAGTAGATTGAAACAATACTAAATGACACACTGTACGGATTGCAGTACAGTTCAGTTGAATATAGTGTATGTTCGGAATGCGCAATATAGTACGTAGTATATATATATCGATGGGTCTGTATATTTTACGCCTTGCGTAAACATATGGTTATGCTGCCATCGGAAGCCATAAGCTCTTTATGGTATTTCTCGTAATCAAAAAAAATGGGAAAAAAATGAACAAACAAATGCAAATGGGTTGATGAGTGAAGTATCCTTTCGCATTCTAAATTATGGTCATGGTCGAAATCAACTCCTAGAACATCATCATCATAATATTATAGACTATCTTCTTCAATCTCTCATTAAAATCATACCAATTATTTCTTCCCGAAGGCACCCGGTAAGGGGGCCTTTACTTTAACTAGGCAAACTAGGCAATTACTTCTAAGAGTAAGAGAGTGACGACCTGGTAGGTGATACAGGAAGTCGATGGATACAAGTGGATCGACCGTAACTTTTTGACACTCCTTGAGGGTGGCCTCTTTAATGTTGTTAATGATAATGTTTCTCTCTTCTATTAATTAAATTATAGGTACTATAAAATGCAATATTAAAATAAAAATATTAGAAACAATTTAATTCTAAACATTATACACCTACACGTTACGTGAGCAATCCTCGACGATCCGTACAGTCCTTGCTGGGGACTAATGAAATTGTTAAGTGTAATTTAACTGCTGATTTACCACGTGTTCGGTGGTTAAGGAAAACGTGAGTCCGCCAACATACATTGGGGTAGCGCAGCGGACACTTCCTTGCTTGATACCCTCTTAGAAATCAGAAGAGGCCTGTGTCCCAGCTGTGGGCCGTATATAAGCTGTTACGTACAATGTTACAATTCTTCTATTATGCACCTTTATCTATAAAACATTTCGGCATTATTTTCGATCATCAACCTCCAACACTCCACACTTCCACCAGACGTAATCGTTCCTCGCCGTCATCGTTTCGTTTAGGTTGGGAAACTTTTGAAATGTTTATTTAAGCCACCATCTATTTTATTTTGAATGATTTTACTGTGATTAATTTTAAAGCAGTTTTTCAAATTTACACGCTGACGATATAGTCGTTCACAAACATCTTATTTTTAAATTCTACTTACATTTTTGTTACAATTATTTGTTTTCATTGTCTTTTATTTATATCAATAAAATATATCTTTCATGAGCTTTAATTAAAAATAGGAAAATAGTTCGGAACAAAGGGATAATGAGCACGGGGAGTAATCACGATAGAACAAAACGTTCAATGTTCTTTCACTATGAATTCTAAATCCACAATATATTGTCGTATTAAACTATCACGGTCGCTCTTTAAATTGAATCCAAACCGCTTTCACCTTTGTCATAAATTGAATTGCAATACCTGAAGGGATTCTATAATTGGTTTCCTTGTCTCAAAATTATACAGCTTCATACTTAACCAAATACTACAATTTAATACACATTTACTTGTAGACGTGTTTTTATTAAAAAGGCTAATTAAATGAACATATTAATAATAATAATAGATTCGTTAATAATGCGATGTTAAGAATGTTTGGATTGACTCCTGTAACTTCATGGTTTTCTGGTTGCTTGATACTCTTCTGCATGTTATTCTCTCCACGCTTACTTTAGTAACAAGCTAATACATAATAGATATCGTACGTATACGTTTGGCTGCCTAACGCTAACTCTTTTGTAAATAACTTTACTTCTTTTTACTTGCTCTCTTTTGGCGAAGCAAAACGAGGTAAGTTCAGTACACTTCCATAACCGTTTTCAATGTATATTTGTTTTTAATTTTGTTTTCAAAGATTTTATATCACTTTGTTTACTAGATTACATTTCAATCCATCCATTACAGTCTATATAGTCCACTGCTGAACATAGGCCTCCTACATAGTTTCATAGGGGGATATTCCCATAGTTGCCACGCTTGGCAAGTGGGTTTGCAACCGCCTTTTTTTATAATTTTGAGTTGTTAACATGAAGACGCTGCTGCCCATCTCCTTGTTTTTTTCTCTTTGTCGCCTCTTATGATACGTGGATGATATGGGGCAGTTAATATTCTTACAACGCCACTTTACGGGTTCACTAGATTTTTAAAGTCTTTTAATTTTTTTATATATTTTACATTTATCGATATTCTAATTAAGTTATTATTAAAGCAACAGTTTTTTTTATTTAATTTTAACGTTGACTTATATTGCTTGTTTAAATGTGTTTGTCTATATAATCTTGTCCTATAAAATTACATAACTAGACATGTTACACAAAAATAATTCAAACCACAAAAAGCTTTTTAAATCGGTAATTATAAATAAAGGCTTGCTCTTATTTGTTTCTAACGCTCTTATTTCTTTTTTTTTCGTTTGCGAATTTTACTGGAATTGTTTTTACTTATTTAATTGTGACTTGAGTGGGGTTTGAGCCCTTTTTGCGTAACTACTTTTTACTGCAGTGTACATGCTATGCACATTTTGTAGTTTTCATGCAAAATGATGATTACTGGTTAAACTTACGTCATCCCTGCTTATAGTTTTATGTTGATATGATATGGCCAGATTTGTTTTCTTTGATGGTCTGGAAGTTTTATCAAGAAAAGAATGACATAAAAGCAGCCTTTGCAGGATACACATGGTTCGTCTTATTGGCCATTATTTTCATGGTTCGTTCGTATTATTGGCCACGGGTACTTGACTATACTTGATAATAATCTCTTAATGACGTTTTAAAAGAGTTAAAGTTGGGTTGGGTATATTTTTTTCTAAAAACTAAGTTACAAATATACACCTGATGGTAAGTGGCTAACACAGCAGATACCTGCTGCTAAATTTAAACAAAGGAGACTACAATTATGTTGTCACCTCTGAAGACAAAGGTGCATTACTCTGCACAGCCTGTTGTTATAATACTGACAGACTTACTATTTACTTACTACTCCCTCCAGAGCGGAAAGTACTCGTAGTAGTGCACGCACTGCTGTTTGGCGGCAGAAATATTTAAGATAGTGGGTACCGAGCAAGCAAATTCCTAGGCCGAAAGAGAGTCCAAACTTTCCGCATGTTTTACATATGCTGTCAAAATCCATACATTTATGTTCGCATATTTCCACGGAACTTTAACTACTTTTTGTAATAATGTCGTTAATATATATATTTACGAGGGTGTAACTCTTTTATCGAAATATTTATTACACTTTTCACATTTGGAAATAACTTATATTAAGAGAGATATTAATTTTATTACTTGTAAATGAACTCAAAATGACCTTAAAATAAAACTCAAGAAACCATATACTCACTGCAAATAATGTATATTATATTTCATTTAAAAAAATTGTGTCGGAAACACGCCGAGACGTGCCAGTTTCAAGTTTAGTTATCATGTCACGGCTTAATTTCACGAACATGCTTCTGAACAACGGTTGTATGGCATTCGACGCGAAACTATTCTCCTCACGCGAATATGTTCATGATAAATCCCATGATCGCTTCCTGATCCAATCTGCAATATGTGTTGAATATCTTCATTCATAATTGCTTTTCAATTCACATTTTTCACTGCTAGCAGGCCTCCTGCAATTAATTGACCGTGCTGTAATTCGTTATACCAGTGGTAGGCGATTACTTAAAAAGTTATTTCAACCATATTTTTAAGCCATTTAAATTCTGTCAAACTATTCGTCTGTTTTTAGGTGACATTTAAATATCCGCCGCGCGAGAAGGTTCTCGAAAATTGATTTTTCAATAAAACACATACTATGTGTATTTACAATATAATATCTCAATGATGAAACACTATTTAATAATATTAACTCATAAAATATGAAAAGGGAAATTTAAATTTGGAGCACTTGGAAATAATCGTAATTATAATTGCCTAAGACCTCGTAAAACAAATTTCTTTCTTCTTCATTATCATTCAATTCGACTGTTCAATATAAGCATTTAAGAAAAGACTTACTGGCATGCGTAACTTTTATATACACATACATAAATTTTTTATATACACTATTTTACTATGTATATAATATATATTATAAAATTATGTTCTTTGATGTCTTTTTATTTTGTAAAAACGTAGACGTGCTATAGTGTAATTCGTGCAAAAAATACTTACTTGCTTACTTTATACGCTATGAAATTTGATAAGCCAGTGAAAACATTTCGACTCTGAAAATATATCAAATCTTTGAAATAGCAAACTTGTTTCTTTATACAGAATATTTTAGATCTTTTTTTTTCTATTTAAAATAAACAAAATTAATTCCAAAAAGTGTTTTCACTACACAAATGAGTTGCTTATTTACACTATTATGAATTGTTTCAGATGACGAGTTTGGTGAAAAATCTGTATCCGTATTGCTTGATGGCGAGGAATCCGAACTTATATTTATTGATCACCCCAGCACCGAAATGTCGGTAAGTAACATGCAACGTATAATATATGCAAACATACTTAAACAATACATTAATTCTATATAATAATAATTATAAATCATTTCTTGACGATCTAGAATCAATAAATGAAATAATAACAGCCTTCTTTTATTTATTTTTTTAAACATTACCCTCACACTTGGATTTTCTCCAGCATCGTGGAGGCAGCTTACTAACATACCTAGTCAGGTCATAAATTCTGTCACATGTTTAATATAAAATAATTGAAACAAGTTTATTCATTATGTAACCATTTATATACCAAAATTAACTTAACAAAACATAGATTCTTATGACACTAAAGTTTATTCAAAATGACCTCCGTGATTTTGAATACAGGCCTTCAATCTGCGCGGCCAGTCGTCTATCGCAGCACGAACGAGGTCCATGTCAATATCGGCGGCTGCCTTGATCAAGGATGTCTTGAGTGATTCCAAATTGGGATGAGGCTTTGAGCACGCCTTTTGCTCCCAGTGTTGTCATATCTTGTAATCTAACGGATTCAAATCTGGACTGGAGGAGGGCCAGTCTTTGTGCCGGATGAAGTCGATTTCACGCGCCGCCAGCCAGTCTTGTGTGCTCTTCGCTCTATGAGCTGGCGCCGAATCTTGTTGGAATACCCAGTGCCTGTTATTGAACATGGTATGAGAAACAGGTTCCACAAGGTTCGTCAGGATTGTATTTTGATACACAACTGCATTCGTTTTTACACCTTTCTCACAAAAACGTACCTCTGTTAAGCCCCAATAAGAAACTCCCAACCATACCATGAGCGAGGATGGAAAATGACCTCATTGGACACGCGGAATACGGTTGCTCGCTTTTTCACTACTGTGTGCGTACACCTTATCATTTTGTTCGTTGTAGCTCTCTTCTACGGTAAAAATTTTTTCATCCGAAAAAAGAATTTCCCGATATTTTTTTCCCGCGTACCGCTTCAACAAAACGCGGCATCTCTTCAGTCCCAGGTCCATTAGACGAGCATTCAAACGATGTCCTGTTTTTATTCGATATGCCCGAAGCCCTAAGTCTTCATTTAACACCCTTTTCACCGTGGTTCTGCTTAACCCCATCTGAAGGGCCAACAGTTTCTGCTTACGTTTGGGATTTCTTTGAATTCGCGCCTTCACAGCTTTTATCCACTGCTGGAGTCCTAACAGACCGAGGGCGACCACTTCTTGACCTGTCATCTACACTAGAGTCTTCATTGTATCGTTTGATGGTACGATAAACAAATCTTTTGGTCATATTCAAATTTTTCATTATGTCAAAAATTTGAATTGGCGCGTAACCGCAACGATGCAACGCAATAACTGCAACACGGTCTTCTTTAAGCGTCCACTCCATATTTAAAAATGAGTAAAATTCTTTTAAATTTCTACTCCTTTTTAAAAGGCCGGCAACGCATCTGCAATTCCCCTGGTGTTGCGGTTGTTCATGGGCGGCGGTAGTCACTTACCATCAGGTGAGCCGCATGCTCGTTTGCCCCCTCTCCTATAAAAAAAAAAGTATACCTACAGTTTTATTTTCATGAACAATTCGAAATTCGAATTCAATAAACTTTTTTGTGGCCTGCATTCTAAAAGAAAAGTTTTTACTGTGTGACAATACTTATGACCTGACTAGGTATATTTCACAAAAACAAACATCCAGACCCGGAACTATTACTTATAGGCCATACAATAAATACATGTTTCGTGCGGTATTCGAACCCGTGGCCCTCAGCGTCGCAGCTTATTGCTAAGTCACTGTGCCACAGAGCCTTAAAATCTATATAAGTGCACGAACATACAAAACAACAAACAACATTATATTATAATCATAAAGTTATATTAGTTTATTATTCATTATGTTTATTATATCTGGACGATAGATTTCTCTATGAGGATTTTTTTCTTATTGAATATTTACGACTTTGACCGCCCACCCACGCCTTGTGCCCAGGGTATGAAAGTAGTATTGTATAATTTTTCATAATCAATTGCTTTATATTGAATTCTTTTGTGTGTTATTGTTGCCAAGTTGCCTATTTCGGGAATATCTGCTTGTGATCAGATAGGCATGATTCAATTATTGAGAGGCTAAAAGAGTGATTGTTTATATTCGTACATACAGGTCCAGTATAGTGCTTGTGGTGCTGGTTTCACGAGTACTGTATAGTCTATTAATTTTATTCAATATTTCATATCCACTTTCTTTTATTTCAGTTAGGTATTTTGTAACGTTGCTATCTGTACTAAGTAGATCAATATTAAAATCTCCGAACACAATCGCCCTTTTTCTCCGTTCCAATTGTGAGGAATATGTATTTAAAAAGTTGTTTACGTTAGAACTTCCAGGTTTGTATATTGCACCGATGTTCAAAGATAGTTTATCTATGTATATCCATAAGTAGTGGTTCCCATTCTCACATAAATCTTCCGTGATATAGTATTTTATGCTATTATGTACGTAAATTGAAACGCCACCCCCTTTGTAATTTTGTCTATAGTTGTAAATATGTTTATAGTTTGGTATCTGATATAGTTTCGCGTCGATTTCCGAAGAAATCCATATCTCGGTAAAGATTAATAAGTGCGTAGTCATCGGTATTGCTTTTAATATACATTTTATTTCATCTAGTTTACCAGCCTTGCGAATAATACCTAAATTAGTATAGAAAAATCTTAATGAGGACGGGTGCAATGGAATGTTTTCGTAATTGTTTATTAATTGATGGCTTAGTCTATCCGTGTATTTTTCGAAAGGAGTAGGCTCTTTTCTTGAAGGTCCTTAAGTCGTATCGGTCCGGAAAAATCGCTGGTGGTAGACCGCCAATCATCCAGATGGTATGGATGGTATCGCGAGTTTTGTCGCGATGTGCGATTGTGAAATTGGGCGGCTGGAATTAGTCCGAACAATTCCTCAGAGCACTCCCCGTGATAGAAGTGATAAAATACGCAAAGAGATGCAAAAGACGCAGTGCCAATGAGTCAAGCCGATCGGAAAAAACTCGGTCGTCGACGATTCGAACCGCTCTGCGCTGGATGCGGCCAAGTGGAAGGAGCTGGCTTTGGGGAGCCCCTGCCCAGAGATGGGAACAGTATTCCATGTGAGGCCGAACCTGCGCCTTGTAAAGTTGCAAGTGGTGTGCCGGCATGAAATACTGTCCCGCTCTGCTGAGCACGCCAAGCTTTTTAGAGGCCAAGTTGGCCTTCTCTTCCAAGTGACCACGAAACTGCACGTCACTCGATATGTCGACACCAAGGATCCCGACACTGGCTGAGGCAACAAGGGGAGTGCCTTGAAACTGAGGAGATACGACAAAGGGGTTCTTTTTAGCGGTAAATGCGCAAACTTGTGTCTTCTGGGGATTGAATTGGACTAGATTTAATCGACCCCAGTCTAAGACTTTGTTCAACAAAATCTCGACTTCGTACACAAGTTTGTTCCGGTACTCGGCGACGTTTTCCCGAGAAATATTGGCACGGCCGGTGTATAAAGCATCATCAGTGCTGTCGTCCGCATAGCAATTAATGTTACTGGTTTGCAACATATCATTGATATGCAGAAGAAACAGCGTTGGTGATAGCACGCAGCCTTGTAGAACACCAGCGTTAATGGACTTGTAATCGGAGCATGCACCGTCTACCGACGCCTACCGACCTCTGCTACCGACTACGACCTTGATGCTCCGATCTGCAAGAAAACTGGTGATCCAATTGCACAATTTCTCGGGAAGCCCATAGGAAGGGAGCTTCGTAAGAAGCGCTTTGTGCCAAATCCGATCTAAGGCCTTCGCTATGTCCAAACTAACAGCCAACGCCTCCCCCTTGGACTCCACTGCCTCCGCCCATCTATGAGTTAGGTAACCTAAAAGATCACTAGCTGAGTGACCTCGCCGGAAACCGTACTGGCGGTCACTAATCAGCTGGTGATCCACAGATATGTTATTTAAAATGCAAAAGCGATGCATACGGGCCATGTTTGGTATTCAAAGTACGGAGTGCTGTAAGCCATTATTTATCAAACACAAAATTCTCACACTTCCATCACTATATATATATATATATTGAAAATAGCTTTATTTGTTAGATGCAACCCACACTTGTTTCCTCGCCTATCAGACAATGTAAGACGTAATCGTCGAGACAACAATAGACTATGTGCTCACCCTGCTAAAACAGCGCTACTGCGTAAAAGTGTAGTATGCAAAGCTCCATTAATATATAACAAAATTCCAAACGACATTAAACAATTGAATACAGGATTATTTAAGAAAACATTTAAAAAAATATTAACTGCAAAATGCTATTATAATGTTAATGACTTCCTTAATGACAAATCTTTATAAATGTAACAAACCTATTTAATTACTATTTACTACTTTATTATATACATTGTTAATTTCATTGTATTGTTAATGACATTGTATAATTATTTTTGATGATTTTTTTACTTGATGATGATGATGATGATGATTGATGATTCAATTTAATTCATATTCTGATACATTATTTAGTAGATATTATACCTTTTGTCATAACTCATTAATTATCTGTTACAGCTATATTTATTATCTATTTTCTTCATATTTGTACACCAACTATGGTCAAACATGTTGATTCAAAGTTATAACTTTAAGACCAATAATAAACATCAAATGTATTATTATCTATACATGTTTTTGCAAATAAATATATCTTTATCTTTCTTTATCTTATCCTCAAGGTACCGCATGAGCTGGTTGTTAATAATGGTTTCCATTACTTTGGAGAACAAAGAGGTGATAGCAATAGGCCTGTAGTTGGACGGATCTGAGCGGTTGCCTTTTTAAGGATCGGGTGCATCAAAGCTGTCTTCCATGAGTTCGGGACTACGCCAATGGAGTAGGAGTACCGGAAAAGACGCCTTAAAACCGGTGCCAACTCCGGAGCACACGTCTTCAGCACAATAGGTGGGACTCCATCAGGCCCACTCGACTTGTTGACGTCCAGAGAGAGGAGTGCTTTACGCACCGAGCGCTGTGTAAACAGCACTTCCTGCATGGAGCACTCACACCGTGGGATGGTCGGCGGTGTGTTCCCCCCGTCATCTAGAGTCGAGTTGGAAGCAAAAAGAGAGCCTAGTAGATCGGCTTTCTCTTTTGCGTCATGGGCTAGTGAGTCGTCCGCCCTGTGCAGAGATAACAGAGATGGCTGACAGAAGTTCCCTTGGACAGCCTTGGCGAGAGACCAGAATGCACGTGTTCCCGAAGGGAAGCGAACTAGTTTCTCGCCAATTCTGCCGATGTGCTCTGACTTTGCCTTGGCAATGACACTTTTGAAGGACCTGGAGGCGGAATTATACTTCTCTTTAAGAGCGCTGGTATTTACATCCCGGGACGTTGATGCGTCGGCCCAGGTTCGGTAGCACTCCTGCTTATAGCGTGATGCAATTTTGCAGGAGTGACCAAACCATGGCTGATTTCTGCCTCCGATAGGCATCACAGATGATGGAATAAATATTTCCATTCTCTGAAGTACCACATCAGAGACAGAATCAGCAACAACGTTGGGATTATCCGGCGCGAAGCAAACCCACCTTCAAGGGTAAGATGCAAAAAAAGACCGCATCCCGTCCTAATCGGCCGACCTATAGTGCCAAACACGGCGGCAAGCTCCATATCGCAATTGCGATTGGAGCGTGAGTGGCACCGTCCGAAGAGCCCAGAGGGGCACCGACGGAGACCTGATATCCGTCCGGATGAGAGGTCAGCAGAAGTTCCAACAGAGAAGGTACATGATCCTCCACATCTAACCAGTTGTGTCAGACCATATGCCAAGGAAAAGTCATAAACAGATCTCCCCGCATGATCGGTTAAGCATGAACCGAGCCATTCGGCGTGGTGGGAGTTAAAATCGCCAAGAATCACGATCTCTGTGGATGGGACGTGTTGTAGCACTGAGTCTGAAGCCATTTGGACGTGGTCGATGAGTTGGTCTGTGTCGGCATTACCGCTATGGGACCTATAGAGGCACCCGTAGATGCGGGGATGGTCGTCGCTGTCGAATGTAAGGACCTGTCCATCCTATGGCTACGCGTAGACACGCGTAGCCATAGGATGGACAGGTCCTTACATTCAAGACTGCCGAGGCGTCGAAAACAAACAGGTGTCCTCTCTGACGTACACGCAAACTCCAGCCCGGGGCACAAACGAGTGCTCTAATTTGTACCCCGGGTAGGAGAGATACGAAGCATCAGCCGGAGAGGACACCTGTGTCTCCGTTAGAAAGAGCAAGGGCGGCTTAGCTATCTCCATATGGTAGTAGACGGTGTTAAGGTTTGAATGAAGTCCCCTGATATTGCAGAAATCCACGGAAAGCGTGGCAGGGGTTGCCTTTGTCTTCTTGCTCCGCTTGCCCCGAGCAGGTTTCGTCTTGAGCGGAATTTCACCCCCCCCTCCAGAATACGCGCGGCTGAGCACCCACGCCTAGGAGTGGAGTAGTTTGGTCGTGGATGCTCAGCGAGGGATTCTCCAGGAGTGCTGGTACCCTCCTGGGGTAGTCTTCTGTTCAAATATCAAAAAAAGAAGCAGTCGATCCAAAAATACTAGATTCTCTGCAGAACCAGGGTTTCCATGTTGATGGCAGCACTCTAAATGCATCGTCAAAAATACGCGTAAAGCTCTGTACCGTCTCGCATAATCGACCCACACGATGTTACTTTGACATTATACTGGTAGAACCAGTGAACCTAAAAGCATTAAGTCCGCCCTTTGTAATCCTTTTATTAAGGTGTACAATAAAGTATAAATAAATAAAAAAATAGGCGATATATCCACCCACACATTGTCTCTGTAACATTACTGGAAGAACGAGCGAACATATAAACTATAGGTGATCATATATATAAATAAAAATAAAGTTACATAATCCCTTTTGGGTTTGTGTGCAACTCTGAGTTCGTTGCTCATGCGTTCTTAAGACATATGAAATCACGTCGAATTATTTGGTCAGGTACTCTGGCTAAGAGAGTGTGAGGGCACACTCATACTCCTCATAAAGTAATTTTTTCAAGTTATTTGACCTTGTTTGGGTTATATTCATGCATTACTTTAAAGGTTTAAAGGTTTAATTCATGCGTTACTGCATATTAAAAGTCTAATGCTAGCCATACATACCAGCCAATGCTGGGAATAGCATTGTTGGGATATTAGATTTGGTCGCCATGCTTGGCAAGGAGGTTGCCAACCAAAGTTTTAGTTTCCATTTGTCGCCTTTACGACACCTACGGGATGATATGGGGTAGTGGATTCTCTTACACCGCTGCTATACAGCAAGTAGAATTAATTAATCTTAATGCTTATAATTTTTTCTGGAATTAAATTCGGTATTATGGTGATACTCGTATTATACGTAAGAAAATATTATCGACCCATCACGTCTTGTAAATAAACTAAAATTCTACGAGTTAGGACTTGTTAGTTGCATTTTAAGATCACTACTGCTAATTGGGGTGACGAGCTAGCTCGGACAATGGGCAACTGATGTAAAAGAAAGGATCTTGAGGTGATGTGATTAAATATAAAGATGTAGAAGAAGCTCATGGTCAATAGTGGCTTTGTGATGGCAATTTATATCAGTAACACAAAAACTATGATGATAAGCGAAGGAAAAATAAATTAATCCTCAGAAATAAAACACTTTTTTACAAAAACCTAAACACTATTCTTGTTACAGATAGAGAACTGCCTTTCGACATACGAACCCCATGCGTGCGTCGTAGTTTATTCCGTTGTCGCTAGAAGCTCATTCACTCGGGCCGCAGAGTTGCTTCAATATTTGGCTAGAGAACAGTTTACAGTAGAAAGAACTGTGGTGCTGGTCGGCAACAAAGCTGATTTGGCTAGAGCGAGACAGGTTTCTACAAACGGTATGTATCCATAATATAATTGGATTTGTTTTTTTTTTATATAAAAATGATGTAACAAACGAACTTACAGTTTACCTGATGGTAAGTGACTACTGAAATCTATACCTGTAGCCAACTTCAAACAAAGAAGGCCAAAGATGAGTTCCCACCTCCAGAGGCTAAGGTGGAATGCCTCACAGCCTGTAACTGTAGTAACTCTCTATACCCTTCAAACCATGAGAAAAAAAAACTTCAAAGCCATGCTGCAGCTATATTAGTAGCATAGTTGTAGCACGAATGGGTCGGCTCGACCGGGGAAGGACCACGCTCTCACAGAATAGAAAAAAAACATTCAATCTTAGTCCTCACGGGTGACGACAACGCATCTGCATTTTGATTCTTTATTGAGGATATATGTGGATGTCTATGGGTCACAACAACCATTTACCCTCAGGTGGACAGTGTGCTCGTTTGTCACCCTATCCTATATAAAAAATGGCAACTATGGCGAAATGCTTGGCAATCGGATTGGCAACCCAAAGTTATATTTTTTGAAATGAAGTTACTTATCGCACGGCACGAATTTGGCGGATGGGGGCTAGGCGAGAAAAAGTGTAAGATCTTTCCGTCACGACCCCCTTTTTATAGTGCGAGCGAGATGGAATAATATCCATCTCTCTCGCACTTTTTCTTATCTTGCCATGAAAGAAATATGATTTTTAAATGACACTTCATTTTAATAGATGCTATTAATTCATTTCATTTTTCCAACCGAAAATTCCTCGATACACGCATGTTTTGAAGTTATACTTCTTTTGGGGCGTTAGGGAAAAATGATGAGAGTTAATTTATATAATTTGCGCGCACACCGACACCTAAAATCGACACCATGAAGTTGTTACGATGCACGCGCACATTGACACCTAAAAGCGACAACTTCAGTGGGTAATTGTCTTTTAAGTTTTTTTGTTTTGTTACGCTAAAGAAGTATAACTTCTTACGTAAGTACATAAGTAAACACACTTTTTTATTAACAGAAGGAAAAGCGCTAGCAACCTCAAGAGACTGCAAATTTATTGAAACATCTTCAGGAATTCAACATAACGTTGATGAATTGTTGGTTGGAATTCTTAAGCAGATTCGCCTTAAAGAGAACAGAGATAAAAAACAAGCGAAAAAAGTAAATAAGCAGGTAAGATTATTTTTTTTTGTTTTGCTGTATGCTGTTTTATATTATTATGGATTTTAGTCTAATTAAAAACGAGAACAGTTGATGTAACGGTGGTAGAGTCACGCGGCAGCTTTTGCTGTTGTACGTATGGGCCGGTTTGAGCCGGGTTGGTACCACGACGTCACAGAATACCGGCGTGAAGTGGAAGATCTGCTTCTGCGTTTCGTCTGGTGAGTGCAAGTGGCCGGAGGTAGCTATATAGCTATGGAGGTTCTTTCGCATTTACTACGGGGAGTGCTCCGAGGAATTCTTCGAATTAATCTCAGCCGCCAAAATACACGCACGCACATTGCGGCAAACTCCTGATACCATCCACACCATCTGGATTCTTGGCGGTCCACCACTGTACCCTTCACTGGGAGTTTTCTTCCGCGTACGACCTCTCTGTGAAATAATTTACCACCGGCGTTTTTTCCGGACCGATATGACTTAGGAACCTTCAAGAAAAAAGCTTACTCCTTTTTAAAAGGCCGGCAACGCACCTGCAATTCCCTTGGTGTTGCAGTTGTTCATGGGCAGCGGTAGTCACTTACCAACAGGTGAGCCGTATGTTCGTTTACTTTTATAATTACACAAGAGGTACCGGCAGACGTTGTTCTGCCCTTTTCGGTAGGTGGCGCAAAGAGTTTCATTCCGAATTCACTTCAGACTTTTGACACTGTTAAATATAATAAATTACGCGGCCACTGCGTATATTTGGTACAGATTTTGTAATTTTCGTTTTTGGCACTAAACTAACATAATATTGTAAGCATCAGTCATTTTGGCCCATAAATTTAATATTGACTTAATTAATAACTTGACTACACTAAAAATGTTAACTTCAATCGGTCAACTTGTTTAGGAGTACATGATTATATATATATATATATGAGAGACACTAGCAGACGACTACAAACGAATTAAACAAAGTTAGAATAAAATATTTGAATCAATATTAAAATTTGTTTTTCAGGAATCAAAATCTTCAAAACTTGCTAGCTCTCGCACACACATATCTCTCAGCATCGCCAGAGATTTGCTCCAAAAAATTTGCATCAACGATATTTCAAAGTCTAAATCCTGCGAAAATTTACATGTCCTGTAACCGATTATGAGCCTCCGATTGCCAGATCGTTCTAACGAAAATTATATTGAATATTTCGAGACATCTCTTTGATTTTAAAAATGTGTTATAACAAATCTCACGAATATTTAGTTACGTTGAAATTTGTTTTATATTATTATCAACTGTTATAATTAATGTTCATTCAATTTAAATTTACTCCAATAAGTAAAAATATTTATAAAAGTGCAAATAAATTACAAACATTAATAATACAGTAATCAATATGGATTTTTAGATTGATAGGGCTACGATTATTACTAGCTATTACTCGTACCCCTATAATATACGAAGAAAGTAAGGCAAAAATTGTCATTTCACTTTAAACAATAGAACACAAGTCTTGCAGGTAACATCATAACTGATATCGATTGGTTTTTAAACGACTTTAAAACAGTAGGATCTATTTGAAACGTATTTTACAAGAATATAAAAAATTACGTAAACTTAAATACCTGTTTTATGATGTGATTGTTTTTCTGGTTATTAATGTTACCCTATAAATTAAAAAAAAAACTTGTAACCATAAATTAAGTGTTATTGTCATCATTACAGCCCTTAGTGTTATTATAGTTAAAAGTAATTTAGTAACTACTCTATCTTTTTACTCTGGTTGTGTAAATTCTTCCTTTCGAACTTTAATCTATTCGAATGATTATGCCTTCGATTACGTAATTAAGGCTCATTAATAATTTTTTGACACATTTCTATTACCATTTGTAAATAATAATATAATTTTAGTAGGATGGATTACTGTTTAGTGCAATGATTACTTTAGAAGACCAAAGTTCTTCTGTAATAACATGAAGCTGTTCTTTTTGACAGAAATTCCAACATTATGTTTAATTTTAATTTTTAATTTTTTGGTTAAGGCCACACTGCGAAATCTCAACGCGCGATTTTTATTAAAGAGTATAAAATCCCGCACAATTTTTGTCAGCGACCCGAGACGCATGTCTAAAATAAACAACAAAATAAATCTTGATATAACTGCTACGCCGTAGTACTTAGTTGTACGTAGTACGTAGTAATAGACTACGAACGACTATAATGGCCTCAAGACTTATGAAAGGATTTTTCTACATTACATATCGATACCTGCTAAAACACAGTAAACAAATCTATACACACTCCCACAGGGGAGGTCTCCTATCCATTCATTCCAATGAAATCAATATTACAGCCTTCGAAGTCTCTTACTAATCATAGGGCTGCCACACTTGTAGATGTGTTTATCGCAGATTGTTTTTATTATTTCATTTCAGTAAGTTACTGTAGCTCATCCTCTGTTTTATTCCTCTATGTTGCGTCTTATGACAACCACGGGATAATTGGGATAGTGACTTCTAGAGACGCCACCACATGGCCATGAGCGTTATTAATAATTTTCTGTAAACATTTTCTGGTACTGCCACTGCCAGAGCAAAGATAAAAAGCGCAATATTCTAGTACGATATCGGTCGGTGCACGACTCCACTTCCTTATCACCAACACTAAGTTTATTTCTCAATGCGGTGAGCAACGTCAAATCCATACTTCCATGTATGTAATAAATACTAAACAAAAATAATATTATACTACTACACATAATATTGCGCAGATATTTGCCGATTATTAGCTTGGAAATCCGCCTGGATTCAGATTTGTAACAAACCACAGATTTTTATTCTAAATCACCAATGCGTGCACATATGTAAGATTTCATGAGGTACAAAACTACAATAACAAAATTGCGCGGTTTTTATTTGCATTGCAGCCTAAACTATATGCATTTTTAGGAAGTATAAATTGGAATTATCTTTTAAAAAGTTTTGCGGTGTGCCTATTTAATTTTAAATGTATAATCCCAGAAGACACTATGCCAAATAATCTGATATTTATATTATAGGATTCACATTATGATACTTAATTTTTGGCCCTTGCGATCAACTATAAATGACCTTTATTACGGTCAATGATTAAAACCCGTATAAAGAGAAACCGTAAAAATTCTCCATAATTTTCTTTTATACCTTAAGTATCTATGGTTACTTTATGGCCGCAACTTATGAATTTTGTGTAAAGGACTATTTTCCCTATCTACTAAATTAGTATTGAACGGTCTATTAATAACTTTCGTGAGATTAGAATTATTTCCATTAATGTAAGAATACAACTTATATCTTTTACGTGAGATTTAAGGCAGTCATTTAAATAATTTACTTAGTACGGGAGATACACACAAACCAATATCTTTTGAGAATTCACAAGAACAAAAGTACGGCGTAAGGGTTCTAAAACGTATAATTAATAGGATTACTTGAAACGATGCACAATGTAGAATCGTCAGGTAAAAACATTTAATTAAGAAAAGCCCAACGCTACACACACTAATTAAATTAAATTGGTCTGTTGATAAAACATAAACGTATATGAGTAAATTATTTGAAACGTGAGAATTTATAAAAAAAAATAAACGTATTAAATGTCAGTATTAGGAATAGAAATCAAATTATATACTTGAAGTGTACCTTGATGTGAACTTTCTACGTGTTATAATGAATATACTGATTATATTTTTCTAAATGAGAATCTTTATAAGACTTATTATATTATGTATAAGCTAATTAATATTCCTATCACGAGAGTTGTCATTTGTGTTAAAAATATAAATTCAAACATGTATTGCCTCTTATAAAGAATTATTTATTAAAACTAATAAATTTTAATATTTATTTTATTTTTAATTTACCCTTAATTATTGGCTCAATTTGAACCCTTCTTTTCTACGAATAAAATTTTAACAACCTTGATACCGACGATTAAATTTAAAAAAATAAAAAAAATCTTTCAGAAGTCAATATCTGGGCAATAAATAAAAAATATGTTCTTAGTTCATTTTTACGTTGAATCTACCTAATTATAAAAAAAAAAAACGTTGGGAATATAAAATAAGTTAATATACGCGATAAAATCCGTAAAACTAGTTTTATTTAAATCTACATAATTATCTCCAATCTCTATCTTCAAACCCATATCTTATTCCCTTGGCGTTTTCTTCATTCGGCTAAGGGTACCCCTAAAGGTAGCTAGTAAATAAATAAGTTCCTTTTTAGCGATTTGAGGTTGGTTTTTAATTTTTATTAAAGGTTATAATTATTTAAACGTAGTTATATAATTTTATTTATAGGTATTCTTCAAACTCTCGTGATACGAAAAATCCTTTTAAGGTGTTTCTGACACAATTTATCCTAGTAATATTTTTTAACTTAAAAGTTCTTACTTTATTTTCGCTTTGAAACAAAGTAGTTTTATATAAACATAGTATTGTGTGATCTAAACTGCTGGCACGGTACATTTAAATTGGTTTTGACTATTGTTAATCATTAGCATTTTAATATAAAAATGTGTTAATGTAATGTTAAACTGTATGTGATTTCAGGGTTTATGCAAACTGTTTAATGGATGACGTATTATATTATGTTTAACATGTAATAAAATATCTTTTAAGTATCATTTCACATATCAGATCTAGATAAACTCACAACAGGCTAACAAGCAAGCATACATGTTCCTAATGGTAAATGAATGTTGTGGCCCATACACACTTATATGTATCGCCGACTAAGAATTAAAATATAGATACGCCTATGCTACCTCACTTACAAGGTAGAGTCATGCTGGAGCAAATAATATGATTGTAGTAGCTCGACCGGGAAAAAACGAGGAAGCTTAATTTTTGTATAGTGAATGTTAATCACCAGAGACCTTTTTTACTAGGAACGATCCATCTTATTCCTTAGAGGTGACAACCCATCTGCATTTTGATTCTTAATCGACTATATTTGTAGATATCTATGGGTAACAGCATCCACTTACCACCAGGTGGACTAATCAAATTGCAACCAGTAATAAAATCTCCGGTTTTCGTTACTAACGATATAAAACACAGCAGTATTATACTGCTATTTCACGTTAATATTTGTTGTTTTTTCACACTAACACATTCATTCGTGCTTAAGTCAGAAATACACTTGTCTGTACTACGTTGATAATAACATTTAAGAAAAAAGAATTTGTTTTAGACGGAAAGCTCATAACATACATGACTTTATATGTGAAATGAAAGAAAGAGTAAAAATATTTTATCAGTTCTCACTATCAGAACATATTGTCAGAAATCTAAATACATTCATAAGTACCATGCAAAATCAATATTATATTTCATATATGTTTTAGAGCTTATTCGCCACAAATTTAATTTATGCCTCTAAAAAATATTACTCTGCACTGGCCCCTATTCCTTTAAATCTTGTTAAGTTAATAAAGCGTTTGTACAAACCCTAACTACCCTTAAAAGGGAAATTGAGCTTTAACGTATTCTATAAATATATCACTAGTAGGACTTTGTGTGACTATATTAATGTATAAAATATTTTTCTTAAATCTGTATTTCAATGTAACTGGCCATGATTGATATCTCTATTCATCAATATCTTATACCCTACATATGAAAAACAAAAGGCCTATAACTATTGTTCTAGAGAATAGCAAATGATGTGTTTCAGTAAACAACCTGTTCATTTATAATGTTCTGCTGTCTTATTAAAACTAGCTCTTTTTATAATTTAATGTAGAAAAGTTAAGAAGTGTCTTATAAATTGTTATAAAATTACTATTATTTAATTTTTACATCATGTTCTGGATGAAGGAAGAGGTTATTTTACGCTTAGCTTAGACTGACTGACTTTTATACTACCTAAATATTTAAAAAAAAAAACTGGAGGTGAAACTCCTTACGAAACCGAACGTTTTTCTTTAATATAAAAAACACCATTGTGTTATTAAGTCTTTATTTGGAATACTTCAATTAATGCAAACCAAATTTCTTAAAAAAATTACAGTTAAACGGTTACGTGATATTGCACATAATAATTTTAAATCATTGTTTCTATTCACCGAGTAATATAAGATGCAAAACTATTGTGTTACTGTGTTGTGTT